GCGAAGACCAGTGAGCGTGTTCCAGCCGCTGATCCGTCCTGCTATTGGTCGCTGTTCTGTTGTGGTCTTCCTGATTGGTCTGTTGTGCTGATTTTGATGAGTCGTGCTGTCGTGGCCCTGCTGATTGGTCGCTTCTCTGCTCTGTGTATGCTCTCGATTGGCCGTCGCTCCGGCGGGGCCGCTCTGATTGGTCTGATTGGATGGCCCCCCACCAGATTTGGCCTGGCATGAGCGTGGAGAAGCCCAGTGAGAAGGACGTCCGCGTTACTGCCATGGATAACGAGCAGGTCAAGGTGTTCCTCATCAAGGTAAGCTAGCCGGGGACGGACCCGGGCACCTTGCGGCACCATGGTGCCAGCGCTTGCTGGAAATACAGGCATTTGTCACTGGAATCCTTGCAGTGGTGCGCCGATGTCGGCGAACTGGGGTATCCTGCGGCAGAGTGAAGTTTAAATGTGCCAGTGATCGCGTTACGATGTGGTATGTCATCCAAGCTGCGTGAGGTAAACTGTAACGCCTGTGACGAAGGCGACCAGATGCGAGTGTTCGGTGCGCCCCGAAGCCCCAATTATCATCACCAGATGCAGGTGTATGGATTGTGAGTCACAATCCATACGCCAGCATCTGGGTTTAGTGATGCGAAAAATCACATCGATGCGTGGTATTGTTGTTTGCACTTCGTTACTTTTATTCTTACACGTTGCACGTGGAGGTTTGCGTGCCTTTGGCAGCCACGTCCCCGTTCCTCATGAGGTGTGGTGGGCTGGCATGGTTCAGAGTGACCCCAGGGGTGTAGTTTCCTTTTCAGTTGGGGGCTCCAGCTACCTCCCCCCCCCCCCCCCCCCCCCCCACACACATTTCAAGATGAAAGTGGGCCAAATGCAAAGAGAAACTGGATTGTTGGTGTAATTTGAGAGGGTAGGTTTCGTCATTTATTGCTGTTCCCCCTCCAGTATATTTTGCGGAGGTGCGCCGCCGAGTGAGCCGTTGGCACCGCCAGGTGGCCCGGCCGCTGCGTTTGTCCGCCACTGCGTGGCCCGGCCGAAGGTGCCTGGCCCCGAGCGTGCGGCCCAGTGTGACCGGCGCCCGCCTCCGCCCCGACAGAGCAGCACCAAGGACGCCGAGCTGCTCTTCAACGCGCTGGACTGTCGACTGAGCAGCCTGCAGGCGGCCGACGCCGACGACGAGCAGGACCCGGAGGCCGCGGCCAAGAAGGCCCGGGCGCAGGAGCAGCCGCCCGCCACGCAGGGTCAGTGGGCAGGGTCACCCACAAAGTGTCACCGGGGGTAAGCGGCGCGAGTCAGCAGTTATGCGGGTCAGTGGAGCTACGGGAGGCGGCAGCAGGAGGCCGCTACATGTCGCCTCTGCTGGGATTAGAGAGTGGAATGTGCTGGCCGCGTCACGGTGTCTGTGTTGTAGCGCACTCGTTTCGTGGGACAATGTGCCTCGCTGCTGCATGGCTGGCCGTACGCACGTCACAATATATTGGGTGTTGCTGTGGGGGAAACTGCTCTGTGACAAGACGATTTGTGGTCGACGTACCCGAAAGCGTCTTATTGTCATGCTCGGCCATGCTCGCCGGCCTGGTCGACTGGCGTATGGGGTGGACTGGACCCCACGGTGGGACCATGTTCCGGGGAGTGACCTCAGCGTGACCTCTGGCGGCAGGCTGAACCGACCACCTGGCTTCGGTTGTGATGCGGCCGGGCCGGCGGGCGGTGCTGCCGCCGCCGCTGCCGCCATCGCCGCCGGCCGGACCGCCCATGCCCTCCGCCGCCGCCACCGTCTGCGTCACCGGCCGAGGGCGCCGTCTCCTGACCATCGCCCGCCCGCCACTGGCGCCGCCTGGCGGCTAACCGACGCGGTGGCCCGTGGGATCGGCTGGTGGCGGGCCGGTGCGACTCACGTGCTCACGCGAGTGCGACCAGTCGCTAGTGTAGCAGGCGCGTTCCATGTGCCCGGGCGACTGCCGGCCGCTCCGCCGTCCTGCCCTCCGCGAGCGGCACATCTGTACGGACGCACTGTCCGCACTGCTGCCCTGACTCGGGCGCCGTTGTCGCGCGCTCCGGTGCAGGGAGCGGCGCCAGCCAGCCCGGCTCGCCGTGTGTGCCGCGCCCCGGAGCGATGGACATCCCGTGCTGTATGTGGGCAGAGCGGGCCGTCTGTGCGCCCTGCGATGACACCCAGCTGAAGGAGCTCTGTGTGGCTTGGAGGATAGGTTTACCGTCATGTTTTATTGTTGTAAATAAACGTTTTGGACCCGGTGTGCTTGCGGTCGTCGGTGTGGCAGTTCGGAAAGCAGTGTGTGTCCACACGTCTGCAAGGATCATTGACACAGTGCACGTACTTCAGAACCCAGTGGCCGAAAGACCCTCAGTATATTCGTCGCGCTGACAACTGAGCCGATCGCTGTCGTCATTGGAGCCTCACTACGCATGGTTGCATGATGACTTCCCAGAGTCGGATCAGCCCATCATAGTCCCGATACAGAAGCTTGGGAAGGATGTCTCCGACCCAGCGCATTACCGCCCAATTTCGTTGACTTCAACCCTAGGTATGCCAAGTCTTGGACTGGATGGTGAATGACCGCCTCATGTGGTATCTTGCTATCGTACTCACGGCTGTCTGACCAAGGTGCAATGCAGGTTTCGAACGTTAACCACTGAACGGTCTTAGCTACAGCTGTACGCGTACTTATGAACAGAGACGTCGCACGATAGTTATCTTTTCTGACATTGAGCGGGCTTATGATACCGCCTGGCGCCATGGTATTCATGATAAAGTGCACAAGTGTGGACTTGGAGGCCATATGGCAATCTTTATGAAGAACTTTTTACGTCACCGATGTTTCCGCGTTCGAGTGGGTGGCATGCTATCAGACCGCTACGAACAAGAGAATGGTGTTTCCCAGGGGAGCATCCTTAAAGCTATCTTGTTCGCACTGATGATTTATGATATCGCCGACTGTCTGCCGCCCGCTATAAGTCGGTCGCTGTTTGTGGACGACGTTGCCATCTGGTTACGGCATCGACACCGCAGAAAGGCAGCTTCTGTTACGTCTCATTAGGCTAGCTAAGTGGAGTCCAAAGAATGGTTTCAACTTACAGACCACCAAAACCATGTGCAGGCATTTCTGCTCATGGAATCGAGATTGTAGAGACCCAGCGTTGCAACCAGCTAATGTCATTCAATGTCATTCTTCGAGTATGTAATGAGGCCTGTTTTCTGGGCTTCTTTTTTACTGTTGGCTCACATTTAAGCAACACCTGAAGACGATAAAGGTCAAGTGTCTTCGGTGTATGAACCTCATGAAAGTGATGCGCCGTATGACTTTTGGCGCCGAAAGGTGAACCCTGTTCAACATGCATAGAGCGTTGATTCGATTGGCCATCGACTACGTTAGCCCTTTCTGCGAGAGCGCTCTTACATCTTCGAAGCAGGTTTTGGACACAATACGCAATGCATGCGTTCGTATAGCCACCGGAGCTTTTCGTACGACACGAACAAGAAACCTGCTGGTAGAGGCTAATGAATCGGATGTGCTTCTTAGCAGACGATTGCTTATTTTGAATTACGCCACAAAGGTTTCATATTTTCTGGATCACCTAGCCTTCGAGACCATCCTCTCTCGGACATAAATTCGTTCTTTCTTGAGGAGCTGGCCTGCGTCAGCGTGACTGACGTGTTTACGCGTCCGGAACTGGCTAAATGATGCAGATATTACGCTGGACGCTATTGCCCCGCACACGCTTTGGGATCTAGCTCCATGGCGACGCCCGAGTCCAAATTATGTTTGGAGCCTTGTCAGCATCATAAAACCGACACTGTCCCGCGGGAGTTCCTAAGGTTTTCGTTGGAACGTATCTCACAATGCAATTCACTACAAATATTTACTGATGGGTGCAAGGGCTCGGTTGAAATAAGTCGCGTATTCGTTTGCGGTAATCACACAAAAGGTCTCTGCCTCTAGCATCGCATGTCGGTTTTTTCCTCATAACTGTTTGCCATTTTAGTAACTCTTCAGCATGCTTCTTGTCGCCCAGGAAGGGAAGCAGCCATTTTGACCGACTGACTAAGCGCACTTTTATCATTAGATCCAACGTCGATGTCGCGCGACCACTCCTTTCTGACGAGATCAATCTGGGCCTAACTCGAATGACTGGGCAACACTGCCAGCCGTACGATATTTATGTGGATCCCTGGTCACGTGGGGATGTCGGGAAACATGAAAGCGGACGCAGCAGCAAAAGCTGCGGTGTGTGAGGGGAAGCCACTACCAGTGCATGCACCCGCTCGAGGTCTGAAGTTGGTGATATCCACGTATGTCCGCGGCACGTGGCAGAACGTGTTTGACCAACATGACGACGCTTGCAGGGGAATTAAGCCCCAGCTTGGTGATTGAGAACCTTTTCACCGCAGAAGCCGCCTTCAGGAAGTCGCTCTTAGCAGGCTTCGATTGGGTCATACCAATGTAACGCACTCGTTCTATTTAAAACGCCAAGATGCGCCACGGTGTGATAGATGCGGAGACCGGTTGTCTGTGGAACGTGTCCTGGTCTCATGCAGGCGCTTTGAAGTGGATAGGTGACGGTACTTTCCACCAGCACTCCTCCATCAGCTAGTCGGTCGAGACCCATGCTGTGAAATCGGTGATATACTCTCATTTTTGGCACACAGACTTCGACATTATTTTTACCCACTCCTCTGTGCAAGCGCATAGGTGACACCGCTTGTTACCGGGCGACAGCATACTTATAGTGTCGCATAACATATGTAGATAGTCTTCATCGAGCGGGCGCAAAACGAGCCAGATGCCTACGCGCCCTTAAAACACCAAATCACCACATGATTGGGGCTTCGCGACGCACTCGGCTGCTGAGGCTATGTGGGAGGGTGGGCTCCGCGGGGAATTGAGCGCCGTACCTATGGTTTCCCAGGCGCGCAATGGTCAACCTAGACGTGTTAACCACTTTATTATCGGCACCAATAAAAACGCGCCACAAAGCTCACTTGGTTGTATTCTGCCGTGCGTGGACCCAAATGCCTCTGCCAGGCTACACTCGGTAACAGTCGGGCACTCAGCAACAGTAAACACAGGTCCCCGAGGACCGCATAAAACCCCAGCAAAAACTCGGGTCACTCCACTCTCACGCGAATCAGACCTCTGCACGCATGCCCCTTAAAAGAGCACAACACTCGCAAACATCCGCAAGCAGCCGCTGCTGGCTCGACCGGGTCAGGCCGCGCCGTTGCCGCAACACGAACACAGAGAGAGAGAACATTGGCGACGCCGAATAAGTACCCTTGATGCGTCACTGCTCAACGAAAGACGCTTGGCTCTTGTGGCCGGCGAGCTCACGCGATTGGGAGCGCGCGCTCTGAGCGGCGCACTGCCGCCGCCACTAGCGGGCTCTCTGATCACGTCAGTCGGGCAACGCGTTGCAGTCTCCACCAATCGCCCAACGACAGCACGGGACAGACTCCGCAGCGCTGCCCTCTGGCGCTGGCGGCGGAGACGGTCCGTCTGGGGCCAGGCGCTGACGGCGGTTACCCACATGGTCCCACAGCGCACCGGCCGGTGGCGGCGATGGCGACTCCTGTACTGCAACCGCGGCGCACTACTCTCAGCGGCGTCTCGAGTAGTCTGCCGCCCCAGCAGCGGCCCTAGAACCGCCTACCGGTGCGGGCCTACGAGCTCCCCCAGAAGCCGGCTCGCGCCAGCAGCGGCCCTAGAACCGCCTACCGGTGCGGGCCTACGAGCTCCCCCAGAAGCCGGCTCGCGCCAGCAGCGGCCCTAGAACCGCCTACCGGTGCGGACCTACGAGCTCCCCCAGGAGTCGGCCGGCGCCAGTGGCGGCCTTAGAACCGCCCCCCGGTGCGGACCTACGAGCTCCCCCAGGAGTCGGCCGGCGCCAGCACTATCATCACGACCAGCAGCGTCACCAGCACCAGGTTCTCGAAGATGTAGAGCCCGAGCAGAGCGCGCCGGAACCCACCGCCCTGCGGTAGGGAGGTTGATCATCAGACTTCGGGGGCGACAGCTGAATGAGTCTGACGTCACCGAGAGTAACGCCCGTCGCGGTGTGAGCTATCCGTGTAATCGGCGCCACAGGTGAGCTGAATGAGCCTGCCGTACAGTGAGAGATCGGTCCGTACAGGTGTGACAGCAAGTGTGGACGTCAAGATAGCACGGCAAGGTCACGCGGTGACGGCGTCGTATCTGACATATGCCACGCTTGATACTTCGGCGCCGGCTCATTCACGGTCACAGCGACTCCAGCAGTACCTCACCACCCCAGCCGTAGTCACGGAACCACGTCACCGCCACCAAAAGCTGCCCACGGGCGGTCACGAAACTGGCGCCGAGCGGACACAGAGTGGCCGCTCGTTCAGCCCGGTCACGTGGGCGGCTTCGGGGCGACAGCTGGAGCCGCTGCGCCCTGGAGTGGGTCACGTGACCGCGACTGCCGCGGTCCCTCACCGGCGCGTCGTCCTGGGCGGCGGCCTGCTGGCCGCTGTAGCCGTTCGTCGCCATGTCTCGCATGCGGTAGGCTTCCGAGGTGGTCTTGTGGCCACGTGCCGCCCGGTCGGCGACGCAGTGCTGCGCCTGGGAACGGCAGCCCGGCGTCAGCTCCAGCCGCGCGGACTCTCTCTGCGGTCTCCTGCATACTAGTGTGCTCAGGCTGCCATCCAAGACCCTAACGTCTGGTTACCCAGCTGTCTGTTGCATTCAAGGCGGCACCACATCAACATCCACTTAGCCCGAACAATCTAACAATCTCCCAACCGTGTCACATCGCAAGCAGCTCGAGCTGGGCCTGATCACGTACCGACATCGCCAAGTGCGTCAGGACGTGGAGCACGACGAAGATGACCAGCACCCAGTAGGTCCAGAAGGGCAGCTGGGCGGCCGGCAACTTCACAGCGAAGAAGATGGTGACGATGCCGAGGTTGTGCGCGGCCGAGCCGACCATCCAGTGCAGCCAGTTGAAGATGGGCCGGCGCGAGGCCGTCGGGTGGCAGCGGCAGAGGGCCATCAGCGGCTGCAGGACGGCCAGCGCTGCCGGGCCGCACGTGGAGGTCAAGGTCCCGCATAGACCAGACGCCGATCAATGTGCAAGGAAGAGCGTTCGACTGACATAACACTTGGCCCTTCATTTCTCTCATTAACGACGTGTGTGACGGCAAATGACGCTTGTTGATGTCAAATAACACTTGTTGATGGCAATGACGTTCTTCTGCGCTTGCTTCAACAGCGCTTGTTTTACAGCAAGCAGTCGGTGAATGTCCATAGCGCGTCACGCTTCTCCCGCTGTGCACCCCTATCCTCCCACACGAATCTCGCCGTCGCCGCCGCCTGGACGACACAGCCAAGCCGGCCGCCGCAGCGCCCACTCCCTCGCGCGCCGCTCGCCTTCGGACTCACCGACACAGATGATACCGAGCAGCGGGTGCGGGTTGGCCCCCTCGGCGCCGAACATGGGCGTGGCGGTCCAGCCGCCGACCTGTATGAACACGCACACGAGGCCGGCCAGCGAGAGCAGCACGGTGATGACCATCAGCGTCCGATGACCCTGGAACCAGAGGTCCAGCCCGGCCAGCTTCCGGCCCACCCACGTCTGCTTGTAGTAGCGCGCCAGCAGCATGCCGACGCTGGCCGTGCCCAGCCAGGCGATGACCATGAGGGCGCCATGCACGCGGAACAGCAGGCCCGAGTCGCCGGCCGCGGCGCCGGCCGAGGCCAGGCGGACGGGCGCGGCGCTGACGCGGCGCGAGTCGCGGTGGTACTGCGGCCGCCGCTCCGAGTCCGCTGTGGGCGGAGGGCGCCCGCGTGAGGCGAAGGCGAGACGACCGGCGGCGCGCCGGCCGCGAGGGCGTCACAGAGCCGTGCAAACGGCGGCACGTAGACGGCGTCGTACGGACAGCGCAGCGACATTGCCATGGAGACATGCCAAAAGGGCAACAGAAGTCTCAAGTTAAGTATTAAACATGAGCCACTGATCACATATTGTGCCCCAGTTCTGAATGAGGCGACGTCGCTGCCTTCTGACCTGCAATGTCCATGGTCCTGGCATCTGGCTGGGAGCCGCTCAATTCCCTAACCCGGGGTCATCACCCTCGACCTCGACCCGGGGTCGTCCCCCTCGACCCTGACCTGATGCCGTGCCGCTGACCATCATGAGGTGCAGGTCATCGGAGACCAGGTCGAAGTCTTCGCCCCGGACGGTAAACCGAGGCGAGTGCGTGAACTCGCAAAGCAGGAGACCGTCCCGGTACTCGCTGGAGAAGTCGCTGACCAGAGGCCCCTCCTGGCCGGGCGGACGCCAGCGTCAGATGGACAAGGCGGAGGACGGTGACATGACGAGGGTCAGCGAGCGAGGACAGGACAGCGAGGACAGCGACGTGCCGTCCTCTGATTAAGAGAGCAGCACAGCATAACTGCATCGATTCAGTGTCGTCTCACCCATCTAAGTCCCAAAAAGAGAGCGGACAAGACAGGAGCGAAAAGCAACCGTCAAATGATATAAAATTCCAAATGCATAACACATCACCTCTGTGACATCAGCATAAGAATCTTCCCTCACATGGGTCACCGTATTTCGGTCACCAGTGACAACATAAAGCGCTAAGGTAATTGGTGACCTAATGCGGTGGATTCCACTAGCTCCTCACTTACCCTGGACGTCGCTTGCATTGGAAACGCCTGTTTGCCCAGGTTATACGCGTGTAAAACCTGGAAACCGCCATCATCTCGGGTGGCGCAATAGACCACAGCGTCGCTGCCCTGGAAGGACAAGCGACATCTGTCATACCAGAGAGTAAGCAGAGCGTTGGGCAGCATTGGACATGTTCGTCGCCTCCATACAAAAGCAGAGCAGAACAGGGCGATTTTGAAGAGCTGGTTAACGGAGAGTGCGTTTTAGACATTTTTCCGTGCAGACTTTTGAGAACGCGTGCTTACGTTTATCGTCTGGTCGGGGCTGACATTACGAAACCGACACTACCACCACCACCACCACCACCTTTATACCGTTCAGCCCTAATCCTTGGTAGCTGTAGATGTCTCAGTCCGAAACGCGCCCAGAAATGAGACAGTAGTTCTGCTGCCGCACGACCAGCGATCCTCTCCCTCACCCCGATTAGTTCATTGCTGGTGGTGAGCCCCCATCACCCTACTTTACCCACCCGCTTCCCTCGCCTCCTTCAACGGCGGTGGCCGCTCACGGCCTGCTCTGCTCACTCGCCGCCCCCTCCCCCCCCCCCGACCTCCTCCAGCGGCACCGCCCAGCTCCTCTAAAATCCTTCCCGGCCCTGATCTTATCATCATTCTGTCCAGCTCACCCCGCCTAGTCCTCTCCCTCCGACGCCGGCGCCCTAACACACTCTCGGAGTCCCGTCTGCCCTCCCCCTCCCCGCGACTCAGACGTCCTTCCACGTCGGTGGCGCCCCCTTTTCGCGTGCTCCTCCAGCTCCACACGCAGTGCCGTCGGCGTGCCGCCGCTCACCATGATCTTGTCCCGCGAGAGGCCGAGCCCCAGGTAGTTGCCGGGCTGGAAGCGGCCGTACAGCTGGAACCGGTAGGCGCCGCTGCTCAGCCGGCTGTGGGTGACCATGAGGTCGCAGTTGCGACCCTGCAGGCAGCCGTCCGACAGGGCGAAGCAGCCCTTGCTCAGCAGGCACGCGTCGTACACGGTTTCGAGCGCGTTTCCCCCGGCCAGTGAGGCGGTCGTGGTCGACGGCTCGCAGTTCTGAGGAGGCCGCCGACACAGGCGTGAGCGTGGCGAGGTTCGGCGTGCGGCGGAGCTCGATGGAGCCAACATACACGGATATCAGCTGGTGTGGAGGCGCAGCGCGGGCATGGGCCCGGTTCGCGGCACCGCACGGCGATGTGGTTGGCTTCATCCAAGCCCTCATCACCGTGCAGCTCAGGAAACGTGATGTAACCATACACAGTATGCGATACGCGATGCGATGCACGCTGAACAACTAAGCAACTGAATACGGGCGTAGTAGAGCATAACCACAAGAAAAACACCAGATAGCACCGCCAGTCAGCAGCGGTAAATGACGTGCCCGTGAGCAGCAGCGCAGCCCATTGCGTGATGTGGCGTACACATGCACAGGGCTGCATTGCGCTGCGGGCGAGCCGAACCACGCAGTCGCAGAGCGGCGCTCACGTGCGAGGCCGCATTCCAGCAGCGTTACAGACTGCCGGCTGCGAGTGTGGGCCCCGTCTCGCAGAGTGCAACGGCTGGCGGTCTGCTGTCGGCTGCTCAGCTCGACGTGTTTTTAAAACAATGTGACGTCGGGACGGATGCTAGGTAAAAAGAAGAGATTAGACGATCATCCTCAGTTTTAATATTGCTATCCCTGCGATTGTCCGCGTCAGCATCGCGTTGGCTGCATGGTGAAGTGTCGTGTCATTGTGCACACACATTTTACTGCGGTTTATCTTCGTCACGACTAGAAGGGTGAATCCTTGCTAGTCTCCAGCGGGGGTACTCGCTCGGAGAATGTCCGACCTTCCGCACAGAGCGGCAGCTTGAGAATCTCAAGACCGAAGTGACGTCGTACAATGAGCACGAGTCAGCAAGATAGGTCAACTGCCTTCTCTTCTCCTGTGCAAACTATCTACTAACTCAGTGTGTGCTGAAAGTCACACTCACGCTCGCTTCGTGATGGACGGTCTCGATGATCCTCATTAACGCACACCGCAGACGACTCGCCATCGAATCAAACTGGACTTAACTAAAATCTGGATGTAGGAAATACCGAAATACCACTGCCGTAACGTTGGTGTATATTGTTCTTCCCCCTGCGCACCGGGGTGTTGGTTAGGTGCCAAGTGTCAGATTCAAGCTGCATTTCACCCTGATACGGAAGGCTGCGGCGTAGACGGAAAACCCCTTACATTAGATGATATATAGTTTGCAAGCTGTGGCCATGAGCTCCAAATCACGGCTAAAGAAAGGTGATAGCACATGAAACGGCCGAGGCGCCTGCATGAGACACCATTCAGACCAGAACCGTCACCGGCATTGTTAGGGAGGAGATGCCGGTACCACGACGTGGCCAACCTCATCGCCCCATTCTAGCGTGGAAAACCGCAGTGCACATTGCGGCGTGTGCAAACACACACACACACGCACACGCACCACGCACACGCGCACGCGCACGCACACGCACACGCAACACGCGCACGCGCACGCGCACACGCACAACGCACCACACACACACACCACACACACACACAACACACCACACACACACACACACACACACACACCCACACACACACACACACACACACACACACACACACACACACACACACACACACACACACAGCACAATCCACACCAGTTACAAAGTTTCTCCGCGCTGTGGACCGGCCCCAACTGCGAGCAGCTTCGCCGCGCTGGCTGCCGCGGTCTGCGCGGTTCGGGCGGGGCGGGGGAAGGGGGTGGTGGTTACCTCTGTGCAGGTGGGCTCGGTGGTTCGCGGTGACGGTGAGCTCCGGTTCGGCTTCGGGCGGCGCTGAAACAGCACCTCGGTTAGCCCAGGTCAACAAAATGCACGAAGGTACACCGGCGGCCGGTCGGCATCGGCGCCACGGTAAGACGCACGCGTATGCATGGCCGGCACGCGTGGTACGCATGGACAGAGCTTACTAATGAGCGGCGCATACGCCTCAAGGCATGATTCGGCGCATGATGCGGCTTTGCACAGCTGATCAACGACGCGTGACGACTACAGTGACGTCACATTTTTGCGTGGTCGGGAAACTTGCACTCATTTCAAACAATGGGCGACGGGAACATTGCTCAGCTGCACGGCGGCCACTCGCGGAAAACCACGATGCTTGGCAGCACAATGCCACGTGCGTGGGAAACTGCTGAGCGATCAGGCGACGGAGCGAAAGTAGCGGTTAGCTGAGTCAACGCGCCTGCAAGCAAGATGGCGGTCGTGTTGAAGCACTAAATCAGCATCATGGCGCAGGCCGGCGCTCAGATTTGACCACAACACGCGTGAAATTAAGCTCCGACGGACGAATGAACACGAAGCACTCAAAGCCGCCTAAAAAAGCAGCAAGTCCATACCGCAGCCCGACATTCATGCACCACGTCACGAACGAAAACTCTGTGACAGAACAATGGAATGGAGTCCGCAGCGGGGTCGGAGGTCAGAGCCAGCAGAAAACACCGTCGCCCGGGCCGCGGGCCCCACACAGCAGAGAACGCCGTCGCCCGGACCGCGGGCCCCCCACAGCAGAGAACACCGTCGCCCGGACCGCGGGCCCCCCACAGCAGAGAACACCGTCGCCCGGGCCGCGGGCCCCCCACAGCAGAGAACGCCGTCGCCCGGGCCGCGGGCCCCACACAGCAGAGAACGCCGTCACCCGGACCGCGGGCCCCACACAGCAGAGAACGCCGTCACCCGGGCCGCGGGCCCCCCACAGCAGAGAACGCCGTCGCCCGGGCCGCGGGCCCCCCACAGCAGAGAACGCCGTCGCCCGGGCCGCGGGCCCCACACAGCAGAGAACGCCGTCGCCCGGGCCGCGGGCCCCACATAGCAGAGAACGCCGTCGCCCGGGCCGCGGGCCCCACACAGCAGAGAACGCCGTCGCCCGGGCCGCGGGCCCCACATAGCAGAGAACACCGTTGCCCGAGCCGCGGGCCCCACACAGCTGAGAACGCCGTCGCCCGGGCCGCGGGCCCCACATAGTAGAGAACACCGTTGCCCGGGCCGCGGGCCCCACATAGCAGAGAACGCCGTCGCCCGGGCCGCGGGCCCCACACGGCCAGGGTACGGCGCTCCAGCGGAGTGCGCTGGAAGCCTCAGAGGCGGGGCGGTCTGGAGCTGAAGCCCGGTGTCGCGGGCTGCAGCGCACAGGCGAGCGCAGCGCTTCTGGCGACTACAGCGTTGGGAGCCCACCACGAGGCAAGCCAACGATTCCAGGAAAAGGACAAGCAAAACCGCGAATTCGAAGGAAACATGTATCGACGGCGCACGGGAAATATAGTGTGACACAGGCGCGACGAAGCGCGCGGACGTCACAGAGAGAATTGGCAACAAAGGGGATCTGCCAGTGGCGCCCATTGGACGCCGTCTCCGTGTCCAGGTCGTCCTACGTTACATCCTCGCGTCGAACCCCTGGGAAGCCTGACCACCGGACGGACGTGTTTCGGCACGGCACGGGATGGCTGACGTCGGACAGTTGATAGTGGCGATGATACCGTGCCGCTAATCCAGGCATGGTCTTTACCCGCCCGCCACCAGACGAAAACCGTGAAACGCAACCTCGACTCAGACCAGTTTGCAACCACTAACTCGAACGCCTCAGAGACAACCCGGTGCAGGCTACAGGCGGGCCCCAGTCTCTCCCCCCCCCCCCCCCCCCCCCCCCCCCGTTGCCTCGGCGTTCACTCACCGGTACCAGCATGTGCGTCATATCATCGATGGGCTCCTCCTTGGTGGGAGGCGGCGCGGCGGCGGTGGGCGCGGCGGCGGACGGCGTCACGGCGTCGGCCGGCGCCGGCGGCTCCTGACCAGACTCGCTGACGCGCACGCGCGCAGAGTCGTGGTTCACCCAGAACGTGCGGTAGTTCTGCACGACCGTCACGCGGAAGGCCACCTCCTCGTCCAGCGAGGCCGGAGACTCCCAGAGCAACGTCACCGCCTCCTTCTCCTTGCTGTCAGCGTGCGTGATGCTGTTCTGAAGAGCGAGGAAACACGCGTTGGTGAGGGGTACGTGATATCCTGAGGGAGGAGACGTCGGTGGGGGTCGCGACGTAGTGCAGCGGGGGTAGAGCAGCGAGGCACGCGGTGGCCTCTTTGAAGAGCAAGCTTGGCAGGCACACGTATGGACTTCTTTGCTGAGAAGATGACGGTGGTAAATGTGTCCTCATGAATATTGGCGCCGAGAAAGAGGACAAACATTTAATCAAGCTGTCTGTTGAATACAACTGGTTCTTCTAAGTGACTGCAGATCATTATTGCAGCCAGTTTTGTTACTCCAACGTAGGGTAGTCGTTGTACCTTTCCAGCAGTAAAAAATGTCCGGCATGAATTGAAAATCTAACGAACCAGTATTGAATTATGACAGGGCCATGCATCGACTGCTAACGACACTAGTGCCGAAACGAGACTACTTATCCCTGTCCAACCCCGTGGAGCCCCAGTTCAATGCGCCCGCGAGCCACCCGCGACGGGCATCGCGGTTCCCCGACCCGAGCAGCGGCTCTAAATGTCACCGGCTGTCCGGACAGGGCCGCCCACGGGCGTGTCAGCCCCCTCCCCCCCGCCCGCGCCGCCGATCGCCCGGCTGAGTCAGAGACTTCCGTGACGAGCGGCCGGGCCGCCAACACCAGCTGTCGCCGGCCGGCGCCGGCAGACTGCTCGGCCGCGGTCCACTCCCTCGAGATAATACTCCTAATCCAGCCCTGATCAGGTCGTGACCCCTATACAGTCCTGTTACTGGCCGTGGCGCGGCCTGGATTTCGCTCGGGAGGGTCCAAACCGGTTCACAGGGGACTCTCGATTATGGGGTGTCATTTTCATTGCTATATACGCCCTGCATGTTTTTCATTTCGAATGCCTTTTTCGGCACGGGATCCTGTTTGACGCTCGGGGGACAACTCTTTATGTTCTAGAAGCCCCTCGGGCTTTACTTGTCAAAGGTACTGGGGCATTCACGCGACAGTTCGCGCCTAGCCAGGTCGCTCTGACCCGGACCTGTAGGTGGCACAATATGCTGGCACGGACCTGTAGGTGGCACAATATCCTGGCAAAGCTTTGTTTCTTATATAGACCTTGCCAAAGTCAGCCAGAATAGCCAAAGTCATAGTCAACAGCCACGCCAGCCACAGACTCTTCAGCTCTCCGGCTCTCTCCGACTCTCTCTGACCCTACATCTGCCGGTCCAGTGAGCGACAAAGAGCGTCAGAAACCGATGTCTAATACTGACACCGCTGTCGCCCGACCCGATTACGCCCCCTGACACCCGTGTCTTTCACAACCGACACGCCCCCTGACACCGGCGTCCTTGACAGCATCACACCCCGCCCGGTCGCCACCGTCCTTCGCCGTCGTCACGGCGCGCCACTCACAGCCTGCGCGGCCCCACACGACACCGTCGCGTGCTGCTTGGTGTAGAAGCGGCCCACCGGCGGCAGGCTCGGGTCGCGCACCAGGCGCGCCTGCGCGAAGAAGCCCTTGAACGGCGGCTGCTGACCCCGGCTGATTGTCACCATCAGTCTGCAACGGCGGGACACGCGGTCAGGCGCCGGCGGCGGGTGTCGCGGGCTCCGGCCGCGCGCGCCGCCGGCCGGACGGGGCACGCGGCGAGCGCGGCGGCGGGAGCGCCGGCTTTGTCGGCTGGGTGCGGTGACAGTTGCACTGATTGCGACATTGCAGATCCTGTAGCAGGACGGCATATCCTGGATGCCCTGTGCCTCATACAGTAGCATAAGTGAACGAAGGAAACGAGAAAAACGCATGTCACACGAAACAGGCTGGTAACAGGGCAACTTAACCGTTCGCCTCCCCACAAGTCCCGTTCCTGCTCCAAAAATGGTGACTGAGGAGCAGGAAGGCGATGGTTGATTCAAAGCTCTTGGTATGCAGCACGCTGTAATTCGGGATCGAACATAGCACAGGGAAAGAGGTAAGCCGACAGTTAGCAGCGGTAACTGGGGAGGGAAATGTAGCAGCCCGGAGAGGAAACTGACCGGTCGAATGGGAAAACGAAGCATCACCTGGCCAAGGAAACAAGTCCTGTTTATCCAACCCAGGAAACCGGTGGCACCTATTCTGGCCAACAGACGTCTCAAAACCGCAGAGAAACATGCGTCGTGAAGACAAAGGAACCGGTCCGCGCCATACCAACAACACTTAATTAGCCCGCGGCGAGGACCGGGGCTCCGAATCGCCGGCTAGGCCACAAACACCGCGAAGACCGCGAAGACCGCGAAGCAGCGACACGGCACAGCCGTGTCCTGTCAGCAATTAAAGGCGATTAAAGTCGCGAGACGGCGACACAGACGCTGGCCAACCAGGTGAAGGCTGACGCTCAGCGCCGGAAGCAGCCGCTTGAGACATCAGAGGCTAGGGTGGCGGGTGCCCGGGGCCTTCACGGTCGCGGCCGAGCCAGGACGGCAGCGGAGACGGCCAAGGCTCGGCGCCAGCCCTCTACACACGGCTGGCGCCGCCGCTGGGACGCTGTGCCTGTATGGGGGGTGTTTGTGCCTGCCGTACGTACTATCCCCTCCCCCCGTCCACACAACCATCCACGGCGCTTTTCTCGATCTTCTTAATATTTGTCCCAAACCGCTGAAGATTCGCCCCTCCCCCCCCAAAAAAAACAGGGAAAACCTGGACGTCATGTGCAAAAAGGTCTTTGCCTCCCCTTTATCAACTTGAAGCTTTTCATCGCTAGCACCATCCGGCATACTGCTGAAATAACTAGCTTCGGCTGGGTGACCGCACCAGAGGCGTGCACTGAATTTCCTTCTGACCCAGGCGTCCTTCCCGCCAGCCGCTGCCTCGATTTGGGCGCTTCGGTGCACATTGGCTGACGCGTGCAGGTCACCACCAGCCTCTCAGCCACAGCGCAAACACCTCGGCGTCGCCCACGCCTCTTTTTGACGTCGCCCAGGTGATTTCGAGGACATCACGCAGAGTGCCACCCACGCGGCGGCTCGTCGCATGAGAGCAGAACGGCTCAACACCTAGAGACCTCGCAACACTCGAACCCACAAACTACAGGGGAGGTGGTGTGGCGTGCCGGGCTGGCCCGCCCACCACGCTTGCGCTGCAAGCCCGACGCACGCAAGTGCGCGCGGGCGTCACCTCCTCCCAAGGAGGCGAAGCCAAGCGACGGAGACAAAGGGCGTGATACGTTCGCCGGCGCCGACTGGCCTATCACAGAACTTTAAAAAAACGCCACGCGCTCGCACGTGGTGAACAACAGACAATCGTCCGTCAGTGAGAGAAGCGAACAATAAGCAACGTCTAAGCAGCACTATCAAAACCCTTGAACTGCATTAAAGCTCCAGGTCGGAGCTTATAGCCGGTGGTGGGACACTCGGCGGCCAGGCCAAAGGAGCCGGCCCTGAACAGCCCCAGCGTAACGGCGCTAATTCCGCCGAACCGAAGAACGCCGAGCCGTGGTGGCCTTGACCCAGTAACCCCGAGATCTCAGCTCGACACGCCCGGCACGCGCCGTAGCGGGCACCAGCCTAACGAGGAGCGACCCCGCCCGCCACCGAGCCGTGCGCCACCGCCGGAACCGTGTCACTTCCGGTCTGACCCCGGCGTGGGAGCGCGGGCGGCGCCAGCGGTGTTGGCAAGGTCAGGTAGACCCAGCCGGCGTCCGTCCTCGGCAGGGAAAGTCCGTCCAAGGGCTTCCATCTCCAGAGTGACTGTATAGCAATTCCCAGAGAGACCGGCTGAGTAAATTCTAACACATGCAAAGCTATTTTAGACCGAGTCATGTCACCTCCTGGAGCGTCAAAAACACCCACGCGTGTGCATCGCAATGATTGGGAAACAACGCCTGCTGAAGATATGAAATGCATCGCAATCGCGCCGTTCCGCAACTATTCGCTGTACAGATGCATGAAACAAGACCGTTCCCGCCATGTCGCAACCCCGGCCAAGAAAAGTACCGCAACCTCGGTGCCAAGCGATGAACGTCGATGACGCGGTTAGGGTAACACAGTGCTTCAGTCCGAGTTACGACCACGTAACTGACCCGAACCTAGCGATGCATTTCGCCGCTGGTGACCAGGCTCCTGACCAGTGTTGGTCGGGCGGGGAGAGCCGCCTTCCGTGCCCCCATCCCATCAGTTATATGTTCTCCAGGGAGGCGAGCGGTGTGAAGGAGGGTGTGGTCGGCGGAGGCCGTCTCTCCCTCTCTCCCTCTCTCCCTCTCTCCCACTCATGCCCCACCGGCACCTGGCGCCGGCGGGGCATGGCCCTTAGGAGCCGGAACTGCGGGAACGGCCGGCGACTGATCCCGGAGCCCCGGGCCGCGGAGCCCAGAGGCCGCGCTCACCGCAGCGTCGGCCCACGCCGCGACCGGTGAGTAAGCATTCAAGACGGCAGCACGGCCCTGATGCTGTCCCGATGAGGAAACCCGCATCATCCGCTTGGGGTCTGCAGGAAATGTCCGGACATTGACGTCACACTGGCCGACACCGCGCACGAACTCCAACCGCCCAGGGCCTTTGATTCGCCGAAACACGGCGTGAGTGGTTGCGTGAGTGGTTTCCACAGCGAAGTCTCAGTTCGATTATATCCCCGGCAAACGCTGGCCGCCATTTCCCTTATCAGTTCCAGAAGGGAGTCCGTGTCAAATCTTTCTGGACTCGCAGAGGGGCGGGGATTGTGCACCGAACCTCTCAGACCCGTCATATGAACATAATACGTATCACATCTCTCTGACCAGATATGGCACGGCACGGCACGGCACGGCACGGCACAGCACGCCACGCGACGGCACTGCACGGCACGGCGCGGCACGGGTGGGTTGTTTTATCTACTGTTTTTTTTTAAATTCATCCCGCAAGGTTTGCGTGGGTGACCTTGGCTTCATAGTGCCTGCTAAGCATAGCTTGTTGCGTGTAGCCTAAACCCACCAACAAAGTCGTGCCATCCAGTTCAACGGATAATTTTGCCTCCGCCCTTGCGCCAGACAGGAATGCGGAGGGTTTTGCGTGCCGCACAACGCTGCGACACGGCCGCCCGGGTCAGGGTTGACCCTCGTTGGCCAGTTACCTGCTGACCTTTTCATTCCATTCGGGCCAAACAATGCGTCCGCTCTTGGACTCGTACCCGGTGCCGCTGGGCTACGAGTCCAGCATCTCTCCCCTAGACCGCAGAGGCGGCTAAAAAAGGCGGATGGTAAGGGTTTGGTGTACGGTACGGACGGCATGAATGGTAACCGCACGGTACGCCACGGTACGGCGCGGACCATACCCGTGCCCGTACCATACCGCACCGCACCGTTTGATAGTGAGCCTGTGGCGTAGCTCTGACGTCGGTCGGGCCCGAGAGGGTGCGCAACAGCCCTCATGGCCTCCGTGCCTGCCCGAGCTGCATCACCAGGGGCGACCCCGCCCGAGCTCCCCCCCCCCCCCCTCCCCCGCCCCCGTCTGCACAAGCTCTTCTACGACACATTGCACGCCACTGAGGTGTGTTACCACTTCATACTCATTATAACCGACGTGTGGGTTTGACAACTTGCGACGCAGCAGCAGATGAGCAGAGTCATGCGGTGTGACCATTGCAGATGGCGGAACGGGGTCAGCGGATAGCTGATTTTGTCCGTCTTTTAGATCGCACGTCATCTGGCGCACACTGCGCCGCAACACAAACAGTGCCGTAAATCTTGGTAAACAAAGCACAAGCGGCATCCAGCAGATCCGGAAGGTACGCCCCTCATTAAAACCAACCGTTTTGCCTTGCTCTTTCGGGCAACGTCGCATGCGCAGACAACAACCCAGCGTATGGACAAACAACCAACACAGCATCTCAGGGCCGCGGTGTGCGCCGGCCGAGCCCGCTGGGCGACGGCGGCGGCGGGAGCGTGCCGGCCCTAGCCCGGCCGGCTCTGGCGCGCCCTATTGTCTGCCGCCCGAGCGGATCACGCCAGGCGGGGTGGACGGACAGCTCCCAGACCCAGTCGCCGCAGCGTCTGTCATGTCTCGTGGGTTGCGGCGGGACTGAGGTCGAGCGGGTTAAAATGCGCCGGTACACTCAGCGACGGCTCTGCGCCGACGTCATCCGCCGGCACCTGGCCAGGCGGCCGTTGTCCGCGTGGCCGGGCTGGAAGCGGAGCGAGGTGGGGAAGAAGTGGCGATCGGGAAGAAGCAGGCGGGGTGAGATAGGAAGAAGGTCATACAGGGGAGTGATGTGCAGTGCTAGCCCGGAGTGAGGGCTAGCGGGTGGAGTGGGAGTGGCCAACTGCACTGAGAGGGGTCCGGTGTAGTGGCAGGGAGCATGTGAAGTAAGAGGAGGCGGGTGGAATGATACAGGGCAGATGAATGAGAGGTTGCGGGGTAAAGTGAAAATGAGCGGGTGAACTAAGATGGGTTAAATGGAGTGAGAGAATCAGATGGATTAGCGGGGCAGGTGAGCCGAGTGCAGCGAAAGAAACACGTGGCGTGAAGGGAGCAGGTGGAGTCAGGAGGCAGTTTGAGCAGAGAGAACACAGTGAATGGAAAATCACGTGGACGGGGACAGGGGTAGCGAGAGGGGACAAGTGGAGTGCGAGAGACAGGTGGAGAGAGGGACAGGCGGAGTGAGGGGGCAGATGGATCGAGAGGGAAAACACAAAGTGAAAGAAGCAGGTGGAGGGAGGGGCACGGGGGTAGGGGACTGCTGAGGCGAGAGGGGACACGTGAAGTGAGAGGGCACGGGGGTAGGGGTCTGCTGAGGCGAGAGGGGACACGCGAAGTGAGAGGGCACGGGGGTAGGGGACTGCTGAGGCGAGAGGGGACACGCGAAGTGAGAGCGGGCCGATCAGAGTTGCCCCGTCGGTCGTGCCTGGCCGCCGTCACGGCCGCGGAGCTAGTGCCGGCGTCGAGCCGTGTGGCCTTGGGGCACCAGCGCGGAAAGCTCGCTAAGCCCCCCCCCCCCCCTCCCACCGCCCCCTTCCCCACCGTTCAGCCTGACTTCGCGGCGTACGGACCAGTCCGGCCACGAGCGCTGTAGCCGCCACCGAGGCGGTCCCGGGCCCACGCAGCCACTCAGCGCCATGCGCGGTCGGTAGTGCACGCCACGCGACGGCGAGGCCTCGTGCGACCGGTAGCGCACGGATCCTCAACGCAAGGGCGAACCCAGCATCAGCTCGTGGGCGGGCCAGGTTCCAAATGCCGCCAAAGTTGTCTCACAGCAGCCAAAAAAGCGAAACTTCGCTTTGCCGCCGTCCTGGAAAGCAGCGTCCGTTGGATCCGCTTGTGGATCCGCCCCGCCCTCTCGGCCTCCTCTGTGCAGTCGTGCCCCTTCTCAGAGCCGGCGTCATCTGGCCACGAGTGGGAGCGCGGCCTTGGGCTGGCGCCGCGGCGTACAGACTTGGCCCCGGACGTACAGACTTGGCCACGGACTTACAGACTTGGCCACGGACGTACAGACTTAGCCCCGGACGTACAGACTTGGCCAGGACGTACAGACTTGGCCACGGACGTACGGACTTGGCCCGGACGAAGACATGCTGTGCTCTGTTTGACGAGGGTCAATGTCGATTTAGGAAAGAGTATCCATCTGATTGGTTGCATTGCACTAAATTGGGTACTACTAAATTGGCTAATACCTTTGCAGAAGCAGGCATCTTTAATTTTAATAAATTATGTATACCTGTATGTTTATGTACTATATTTTAACCTTGGCCATCATCTGCTATATTTTTCTCAATACAATAAAGATATAGGAATAAGCTTGCACGCAAATGTGCTGATAACTTTCAGCGCGATCTTAAATGTGCCAAACGTTTTCAGCGCAGCTGGACAAATGCGATTGGTACAACTGGACATCAGTTTCACCGCACAACAAATGACTAATAACCACCCTGACATTATGGTTCATGAGCTATTTGTGGCCCACGATTGGCTGCTTTCAGCTAGAGAGCAAATAATCGGTTCGTTCTCACGCCCCTCGTCTCCAAGGCAACATCCGAGCGTAAACAAGACTCCCATGACCTAGATGCTGCCAGCGATTTCAGGATGGAATAGCCAGGGACACGCTGTCCAGAGTCCCACATTCAACCAGCCACCTCAGCAATGAAATTCCACTCAGTTTAGGAATTCGTTTCACCAAACGCAGGACGAGAGCAATTATCTTCGGGCTATCTGCGGTTCAGAATTGGAAGTTGCAGTCCCCGTTTTCCTGCGCGTTTTGCACGCAGCTTGAATGGAACTAGGCCTTATAGAGTTATCTCCCAGCTGTGCGTCCGCTTGAAATAAGTGGGATTCTTTTTCGACATTATGAGTTCTCACGTTGAAAATAATCAATATTCATGTCATGAACATGTCAATAGCGAGTAGGCAGTGGTTAAACATCGTTACAAAGTCATCATTAGTATATATCATAACATTTAAAACTATAAATATAAGGCATCTCCTTCAAGCGTCGCGTAAAGACCACCTTAAAAGACAAATTGCCAATGGCGCTCGATTAATCATACAAACCTTCATTCCAAAGTATAAGCTTTATCATCCGCACGACGCATTTATATATATATATATATATATATATATATATATATATATATATATATATATATAATATATCCCTGCATTGTCATGCTCAGTGTAATAAAAATTCTAGCGGAATAAAGCTCAAATGAAGATAGTCTCTAGAAATGTATCAAAAGTGGGCAAAGCTACGCCACGTGGATGTTTTACAAAACCTCCCTTCTTCGCCGTTCGGTTTTTTATGCATTACTGAGGAGAGGTATCTTGATCTTATCATATATATATATATATATATATATATATATATATATATATATATATATATATGATACCGTTGAAAAATCGCACTTCCGATACTTCGGAATACAATGCAGTGTTGTCACGTTTTGCACCGAAAAGGGGTGCGAAACGACTACAGTTATTTCAAAATGGAAAACAAAGCTGAATTTCAAATACACGATTTGTTTCCGAGTCCGTGAGTACGTCTTCATCCTCTCTCATGACGCAAATTCATCTCCTGCATGGGCTGGGTTAAACATCGAGATGGGTTATAAAATGCACGACAAAAAAAATCTGTCTGTATGCGAAGCAGTGCGACCCCAAATGTTTGTGTGCACATGGCACACGAGAATATTTTAACATGAGGTTTTACGCGTCAGGCTTAAGTGTTCAAAAACCGAAGTCTTTCCGCGAAGCCGCCTGGTTTCCTCAAGACACGTGCAAGCGATGTCCCAACCGACGAACATAGAAGTGAACATCGCCCATTCGAAGCGGCGCTGCAGCACGCAGACAAAGAACCCACTTCCAGGAACGGAAGCCGTGCAGAACGCAGGGGTCTGCGGCGTTCCGCTGAGCCAGTGACGTCATCGGTCCAGGGGAGGCCCCGTGCACCGCGGCGCATCGTCATTCTGACTGCGAGTTGACGGCGCGCTCGTGGCGACTGCAGAGCGAGCTGTCCCCGCAGCGTCCTCGCAGCAGGGGCGTTGCGAAGGGCCCCCATTAGGCCCGGATGCTTATTTCATCACAGGTGGCTCCCGATAGGAAAGTACCACTCGGCATGAGTCGTGCTCACCGATCTCACCCTCCCCTCCCCCCCCCCCCCCCCCCAGGGGAGCTTGGCTGCGCTCCTGCCCGTTCCGACCATTCAGCGTATCTCCAGGCCAAGCGCGGACGTGCGTCCGGCTCCAGCAGCGCGGGGCGAGGGGCGCGGGATTCCGACACGGGCGTCCAGCTGCGCAGACGGGACGGCGGTCTGCCGCCGCCGCAGGCCGAAACTCACCGGTCGCCCTGGCGCAAGGTCGTGTTGGTGACGTCCAGGCCGTACGGCATGGCGCTCGCCTGAGCCGGATAGCCGTGACCCGGGGTCATGTCGTCGCAGGCCGTCTCCGGAGCGCCCATCTGGAAGCCGCCGCCGCCGGCCAGCAGCGCGGCCAGCAACGCCGAACACAGCGTCAACCGCATCGTCTGTGTACAAGGGCGCGAGTCAGACGGGCGGGGATGGGGGTCAGACGGCCAGGGATACGGGTCAAGCGGCCAGGGATACGGGTCGGAGTCAAACGGCCGGAAACACGAGTCAGACAGGCGGGAATGCGGATCAGACGACCAGGGGCACGAGTCAGACGGGCAGGGATGCGGGTCAGACGGGCGGGGACGCGGGTCAGACGGGTGGGGACACGAATCAGACGAGCGGAGACGCGAGTCAAACGGGTAGGTACGCGAGTCAGACGGCCAGGGACACAAGTCAGACGGGCGGGGACGCGGGTCAGACGGCCAGGGACATGAGTCATACCGGCGGGGATACGGGCCAGATGGCCAGGGATACGGGTCAAACGGCCAGGGATACGGGTCAGAATCAAACGGCCGGAAACACGAGTCAGACGGGCGGGGATGCGGGTCAAACGGCCAGGGACACGAGTCAGACGAGCGGGGACGCGGGTCAAACGGACGGGGATACGGGTCATTTTGTTATGTATTGGTGTTTTCGGGCGCGTCGATTGCACTGGTCATTTTGCGCCCAAGGGATACGGGTCAGACGTTAGGGACGCGGGTCAGGTGCTTCTCAATAAGACTCAGAACGGATGAGGGGTGAAGGGACAAGCTGCTAATGTGACCTTGTGTATTCCGGTGAGATAAAGAGCACAAGGAAATCATAATTTTCGATGACGTGACAAAATCGGGGACGGTTCCGAGCCTACGTGGAATCAGAAAGCATGACGAGGACGACGATGACATTCAAAACTATATAACCTTTTTCCAGCTCAAGGGCAGCCGAGCCGGGGACAGCCGGAGCGTCACGAACATAGCACGGTGGCACATGTGCCGCCTTCCGTGTGTCGGGAGTTGCCGGCAGCATATAAGACAAACATCGCTTTAAGATGCAAAAACCTGGCGTTCGGTGCCCCCCCCCCCCCTCCCCCTTGTCACTGAGCCTTCACAGTGGTATCATGCGCATCTAAACACGTGCGATAGCTGTTTAACGTTGCCAGCGAGAGTTGCAGCCCCAGCGTCCCGAAGCCCGTCCAGAGCGTGCGCGCGCCCCCATACCAAGCCCCCATGCGCCGCCCAGCCCGTCCCCGCACGTCGCCGCCGTCAGGGGAGCGGCGCGGGGCGTGGCGAGCTCCGTGCGGGGGATGTGGCAGGCGTCACCAGAGCCGGCGCGGCCCGGTCGGCGGCGTGCCGCCCGGTGAAAGGTTGGTTGGTTTGCCGCGGCCTGACCGACCGGGCGGCGCAGCCACGCGGCCGGCCCGTCGGAGAAAGGCTCGGCGGCGGCAGACCGCGCACCGCGCACCGCGCACTGAGCACCGACGCTGCCGAACGTCGCCTCCCACCCGTCAACGAGGCACCCTTCGGAGAGCCGCTACTGCCAGCGTGTTGCGCTGTGTGTGACGCGCGAGCGGCACAAGAGACGCGCACAAGCTGTCAGCCGATCAGACTGCGTCCGCAGCGCGTCAACAGCAGCAGGAGCCAGCCCACGCGTCGCGTCCAACCAACGCTATGCAGTTATCCCGGTTTCTCCTATTGCGCGACGTGTCGTATTAAGCCTTGAGCAAACCAAGATATCCCCACTCATCAGCCAGCAATGCGTTTTGCACGACATGATTCACAACAAAGCCGGTCGTGAAGCTGTCCCCCATCCATTTTTACTCGTTTGCAGCGGACAGCGTGATGTTTTAACAAATCGGCTTCATCGGCCTCCGGGATATTTATATTTTCGGTGCTAATGTTGTAGCTTTACAGGACTGCGCCTTGTACCGTTCACAACGTACTTCAGATCAAGTTCAAAACCGTCCTCACAGCTGTTCAAAATGCCAACGTGGACATTTCAGGTCGCCCAAATCAAACGGGAGTGCAGAGGAACCATGTTAAAAACAAACCGCCGGCTCTCTAATCTCCGCGACATGATCCGGGCGTTAGGCTCACCACTGCAATCATCATCCGATACCAACGTGACCACGTCTGTTGACAACACAGCCCGGCGCGTGGCCTTGCGTGCCGTAACAGCTGGACACCACGGCTAATCCACAACGGCGGACAAGTCGGCCCAGGCCAGTTCAAACCCGCCAAACCGGGGCCCGGCTTGCCCCGTCATACACGCGCCACCCGCCCGGCATCCAGCCGGCCACGGAAGCCGAGAGCTTGACCAGCGGACCGGCATCCAGCCGGCCATGGAAGCCGAGAGCCTGGCCAGCGGACCGGCATCCAGCCGGCCACGGAAGCCGAGAGCCTGGCCAGCGGACCGGCGCCGGCGGCAGGATTTCACCATGGCCGGCAGGCGCGTCAGTTTCGCCGGCCGGGAGCGCCTGGGACCGGCCCTGCCCGGCGGCTGCGGCGCGCGGGTCGGGACCACGGCTGCGTGACCGCCCTAGCCCGCTCCGTCGAGCCGTGAGAATGGCACAGGGCGGCGGAGAGCCCCGCCGAGCCGGGGCTCGAGGGCGGTGAGAATGTGAGCGCGCCCGCGCTGAGTTGGCGCTCCTCCACGGGCGTCTGTCGACCGTCGCTCGAGGAGGCGCGACACGGGTAGCGAGCGCGTGTGGCCGCCCACGGACGTGCGTCAGATGCGCGGTGGGCGTGAGCAACTGTCAGCGCACGTGACCTGCCGAGTATTGGACGTGTGCGAGGTCGGCAGTAACCGGGGCGAGGTCGGCCATCAGCGCGCTGAGGGCGGCTCGATTCGTGCCGTCGCGCGCTGCCATCACCCGGGCCGTGAGCAGTCACATGCTCCGGCTCAGGTTTTCACAAGCGCGGCGCATCCTTCACATGCTTAGAAAGGCGGCGCGTTCGACAAGGGCAGCCTCGGCATGGGGTCGGCCCGGCACGTTTGGCGCTATCTATCATCTGCAGAATTGCGCGCCGCCGGGGCGGACGGGTCTATTATCACGTGACTGGCGGCACGTGCAGTCGGGTGGAGCGGTGCAGGTGCGGGAGAGGACGCCGAGACGAGGGGCGGGTGCTGAGATGAGGAGCGGGTGCGAGTTGAGGAACTAGAGCTGACATGAAGAGCGGATGCTGATGCGAGGAGTAAATCACGAGATGAGGAATGCATTCCAAAGTGTTGAGTGGATCAAAAGACGAGTAGCGGGCGTAAAGTGAGCGGCGGCAGCGCCGGGTAAGGAGTAGGTGCTGATACCAGGAGAGGGCATCGATATGGGGAGCAGCTGCCAGGGTGACGAGCGGACGCCATGGTGCGCGGCGGGTGCCGAGGTAATGTGCGGATGCGGAGGTAAGGGATGGGTGCAGAGATAAGGGATGGGTGCAGAGGTAAGGGATGGGTGCAAAGATGAGGAGTGGGTGTCAGAGCTCTGAGGGGCAGAACACTTCCGCCCGGCGCGTGCAAAGCCGGCGGGTGCAAAGTCGCTGGGGGCGCTGAGGTGAACAGTGATTGCTGCGGTGTGATGGGGTAGGGGGGGGGGGAGGTCAGAGCGGATCGCATGGGGGGGGGGGACCAACGAGAGCGTTCATACAGACAAAACAACATGATGACCGGAAGCAACGTTCAATGCACGCTCGATCCGCTTCAGTGACAACGGACGGCGCGCGAGCCGACAGATGGCCTGATCCCGACATCCGAACACGAATTGCGAACCGTTGCCCAGCAGCTCGACTGTGTGCGGCATTTAGTGGAATAGAAAAGCTTGTCACGGACCAACGGTCTCCAGCGGCGCCGCTCCATCTGACACGGCGCTGGATTACGACGCAGGGCGGCGGACGGCAGCCTCCGGACATTATACGCATGCCTGCGTTCTGGGATGCCCCAGATGCGTCACGGAATGCTCGTCAGAGCGCGCGGGACTGTGTGTGGGTCTGTGCTCAGCGGTTCTGGATCTGGGGTCAGCAGTTCCAGATCTGAGGTCAGCGGTTCTGGATTCAGGCTCAGCGGTTCTGGATCTGGGGTCAGCAGGCTCAGTGACTCGGCTCAATTAGCTCGCCGGGCTCAGTTCAGTTAGCTCCGCACAAAACAAGAAGCTGAGGCCCATTTTTCGACAACTGGACAGTAGGTCAGCCGGGCGCTAGGTAGCCATTCCCCGCAGAAAGCCGCCTCCGAGCGACGACTATAGTTCCAAAACACCTACTCGCCAGGAAGGCACTGGCCGAGTTTCAGCGCCCCTGATTCACGCAGCAGGAAGCTGGCGCTGAGCGCACAGCTGGCGCCTGAGCACACTCGCTCCTCGGACACGCAGTGCTTAATCTCTGAGCCCAGCAGCTCGTACTCACCGCTCGGCTGAGGCGTCGGTCGGCGGAGGGCAGCAGCACTGTCGCCGAGTTGCTCCACGCGCGCACCCTGCTCCGCTCCGTCCGGACTCACAAAACACTGAGCGGCGGCGCGCGCGGCTCCTGCGGCGGCGGTCGGCGGCCGTGTGGCGGCCGGTCCGCGCCGCCAGTGCTGCCAGGCGCCGTCTCCACCAGCTGACTCACGCGCCGCCGGCGGGGGCCGGCCGCCGCCGCTGCCGGCCGCCGCCGCTGCCGGCCGCGGGCCGGCCGCCCTCCACGGACGGCGGCGGCGAACACGCAAGGTGTGTCGAGTGTCGGCATCGTGGTTGGTGAAAATGGTCACCGTTAAGACAAAAGAGGGTATGTTTCCCCGGATGTGTTGCTTGCGTTATAGCCATCATCTCAGAATATATGTGTTACGAGTCGCGGAAAGATGCATCAGTCTTCCGCTGTCAGAGAGCTCAGACCCAAACAGATGTCCAAATCAAATTGAACGCCTGGTCAGTGTGTCAAAGGCGAATCCCACATTAAATGTCAGAATTGATCAAGCCTCAGGCATAGTGAAAGTGACTCTAACATTAAGCACGAGTTGTGAAACTTGTTTTCACCGTCCTGGCTGTCCCTCCTTGATCCACCAGAGACGTGCACACAGAGCCGAATACTGGAGCTGAGTGGTTGGACCAGTGCCCCGGGTGCGCCAGAGCACTTCTGCACCTGTCCCCCACCGACCGACAGTCGCAGCCAGCCACGGGTGTCTGGCATCACTGATGATAGACGCCCACCTGCTCAGTCCAACACGTGCTCCCTGTACAGCGCTGCCCCCGCCAGTACAGCGCCGCGCCGGAGCGGGAGCCTCCGAGGCGGCGAACAAGTTTTTGTGCGGCTTTTTGGCTGCATCGCCCCCTTCCGGACGGGCCGCCGCCGGTCCTCGGCGTGGGAAGAGCGGCAGATGATGGTCACGTGACGTGTCGTCCGGCCCGTCACCGTATCTGCTGATGTAGCTCCAAAAGTTGGGTCCCGTTTTCAGCTCGTTTGTAAATGTGCATCCTGTTTGCCATTTGCCTGCATTATGTACGTGGATAACACCGTAACACGTTAATCGAAAATACAAACCAACAGGCTGAAATATTCACTCAGTAGAGCATGACAGTATTTTCGTTGCAAATTGTCCATGCCATGGCAAAGCCGCACCCAATGACACTCTGCGCGGCACCAAAGTGACGCACGGAGCCGAAAACAAAGACACCTGATTATCTGCACGGAAGATCTCTACCATTTATGAATAAATGCAGATCAGCATGGGGTTTTGACAAAATCACCTCAATGACGATTCGGATTCTTCGCGCCGACTACGAATGGTCACGCGGTGCCCGTGCTCACGCGCCTCGACCTCGACTCGACAAAACACGCCTCACGTCATCGTCTCGAGGCACACACTTGGACCACGTGACTTAGCTGTCAGGTGTGACATAGCGCGTGACTTAGCTGTCAGGCGATTCTCCCGTCACGTCAAGGCCACTCCACTCTCATGGCATCACTAGCGTCCTCCGGGGCATCTGGTCCAGGGTATCTGCATCTGACGGCCGCGTTTAAAGCTGCCGCCGTCTGGCCATGGAGTTCAGTGTTCGCCAACGATCCGTGTTGAAGTCGCCGGTGACTGGCAACTCTCACTACCGATAGTGATCGCCTAAATCAACACAGCACCTGCAGGCGGCGTAAGAGACGAGATCGTAACAGAAGAGACGTGCACTCTGGTAGGTCCCTCTAACCATCGTCTTCTGGACTTCAGGGAGGGAGCCCAGGAGAAGTTGAAATTCCATATGCTGAAAATATGGCCATACCAGCACATGGAACGTCGGCCAGGGGAGCGATACGCTGCCTCATATTAAGTTTGTCTTCTGACATTGGGTACGTATTGCACAATGGTTATAGAAAGCAAAGATAACCTATGTCACGCAGGCGGATCATTTTGGCGATTGCGCATTTCCAAGAGCATGTCTGCAAAACACACCATTCGGCGGGGAAATATCGCAGCCTTTCGTTTTCAATGCGCTACTCTTATTTCTTTTTGCCATGTTATTTAGAAACGCTTGGTATTGTGCTATTTCAAACAGATGGATATTTAGGAGAACTTGTAATTTCACAAAAAAACACATATTTACCACATCAGTGTGACACATTTTATATCACATACCCTACTCCCAACTTTGATATCAGCTGACTTAGTACCTTTCTGTAAACACCCACCCTCATGCGCTATAAGATCGAACATTTTCTTTGTCACAAGTATTTCAGAACACATTCCAAAACATTGCGCTGGCTCTCCGTGTTTGCTGTGCGACGAAATGCCTTGTTCTGATATTATATCGTTTCGGTCTCTGTGTGGCGTGAGCTTCCAGGAAGTGTGGCTGTCACCGCCCGCAGCCCCAGCTCCCTTCCCCTCCCCACCCCAACCCGCTTACCGGTCGCAAATTTCCCGACCACAGACCGACCAGAAAGCCGACGACAGTCACGCCTCTAAGGCTTTCTTTCCAAGGTCACACCACACGGGACAGGGAAGTGGAGGCGGCTCCCAGTAATCTTATATTGAATATAGAAGTTCAGCCTTACGACCTTGGCGTTGCATGAAGGACATGGACCTGAAACAACCCCAGCCATCTCACACCCCCCCCCCCGCGACTCCAAGCAGTCGTCAACGCCCTCACAAGTAGGTATCCCTGATGAGTGCTGCTGACCTACTCGAACAATGGCAGCACCGCCAGGGCGCTCTCTCTCCCGACGCAGACCCAAGTGAAGGAAGTGACGCACCGGAGGTGGAAGCATGACTGCCGCGTCCCGAGGGCACACACGGACGGGGGATGACAGAGGGCGTATACAGAGGGACATGACAGAGGGTGCACCCGGGCCGAGGATGACAGAGGGGCATGACAGAGGACCGGCGGCACACCGGGCTCACCGCACTGCTGCCGGGACGGCGGGCTGACGTCGGCCGGGGGCGCGGCGCTCCGCTCCACCTAAACACCGGCCCGACAGCCAACGGCAGATGGGAGCGGCCGCGGGAGGGTGCAGGGGGCTTGGCGGGTCGGGGGAGCTCGGGTCCCAGGCGCCGGCGGGGGGCGACATGCCTCGACAGCGAAAGCCGCCCGCCGCGAGACAAGGTCACGGCCCTGATCCCAGCTGAAGAGATCCTCGAGGCCCTGCAGCGCAAACCAAACCGGTTGAGATTTTAACGAGCCGTGGCATGTGGCCTTCGAACACGCGTGACATTGTTTAGCATTTTCATGCACAGTCTTGCAGCAGCTGTCATTTCCTGAAGAGAACATAATTCGCTGATCAATACGCCTGGCACGGCTGGCCTCCTCCGGGACGCGCCCTCACATCGGTGGCGAGCCGTGACCTGGGTTCGACAGCGTACCCGGAGTCCTTCCAAGAGACACCAGAGGCGCCGTGCCGAGACGGATAACGCCAGAGACACTACGCCGGGACGGACAACGTCAGAGCCGTGCAAACGGCACCGGTAGGCGACAGGGGCGTTGAGCAATACTGAAAGTGCGAACATGCCCGCTACCCGTGACGTCACGGGGAATGGTCGGATGAGCTTATGGTTTGCGTGCTGCAATGATGAATGGCACTTTAAAAGATGCAACGTTGCAAGATGACTGAAGACGGGGCCGGGCGTGTGAGTTAGTGGGTAATAACTGGCACTGATTGTTTTCCAAGTATACGACGTGATCTATGGCGCCGCCAACGCACAGCCGAGAGTGGATATAATTTTGGTGGAGCTTCTGAGTGGGGCTTGGCTTGTTGTTGGATGGTCGACCAAATATAATGAAACCTGCACAGTCAATCTGTGCCACTATTTAGTACGGCCTCATGTAAAAAACTTTATGACAAAACAAAATTCCCCGCAAGAAGCGCATTCGCGAGGAGGCCGCATCTTGCACCTATTATCCTGGGCGACGCCAGTGCATCGTGAACTCCTTTCAATTTCTTTACATCTGGACAATTCAACCTCAAAGCTGCCCTCAGCTTTCTGGGAAATTCACGGCAATCGGTTACAAACACGGCCCATCGTGTGCGCCGTGCAAACCGTGCATTCGTCGCCCGTTGGGAATTGTGTCACGTGATTGACGGCCCGCATGTAGCGCGGCAATCGACCACGAATCGAATGAGGCCGAGGCACGATGGCCGGCGGTGAGGCAGGCCTCTCGTCAAACCGACCTGTAGAGCCAGCGGTCAGGACCACAGACCGCAGTCCTGACGCGCGCGCGAGGAAAGCCCGGCGGACAGCTAGAGGAAAATCACCGAAAGATCCCTGAGATGCCTGACGGAAATATTAAGATTGTGTGATTAGTTTCCCGTCGAGTTCTGCGGTGAAATATCGTGCTGCACGTGTTTGAAATACTTCATCCGCGCGGCCTGCCGACAGTTGGCTAGAAACTTCGCCGACACAAAGACATCGCCAAGGATCGATGAACCCGGCACGCCGTTGATGAGTTCCCGAAGAGCCCGCTGCATGATGGTGCACCGCATTCTTGAAGCTCTTCCTGTTGGCCGTCGGCCTACGTATCGCACATAGTGAGGGATATCTCTAA